GCGCCAGTACACCCCGAGCCTGATCGGTGATATAATGATAATAACAGGATAAACCAAAGGTTGATGGAAAATAAGGAATAGGAATCCAAATGGAATGAGATAAAGACCAAATGAATCATGATAAAAAGAGGAATGAAATGGAAAGGGAAGATGGAAAGGAGAAAGGAATGGAAGGGGTCGTACTCTCACAAATAAGAATCCAAGTGGAATGAGATAAAGACCAAATGAATCAGGATAAAAAGAGGAATGAAATGGAAAGGGAAGATGGAAAGGAGAAAGGAGTGGAACGGGGTCGTACTCTCACATCGGTGACACGGCTGGTGGCAGTAAAAGCACTGCCGCTTCCTGCAATCTTCCTCGTTTGGCACAATGCCGATGATCGAGGGCCATTGATCCTGGCCACAAAAACGATTTTCCTCATGGGAACCCGATGTCGCATATTTTTTATTAGCGTCGTACAGGTCGGCGATCACCACGGCTTCCAGGAAAATCGATGGGCGCCGCATCTTCACTTCGTAGCAAACGTCGGATTTGAGACCAGTGATGAAATGTGTTTTTTTTTTTTTTTTTTTTTCTTTTTTTTTTTTAAAGCTTCTGATAGGTCGGTGATTGGGTCGCACAGTGCCTGAAATTATGACGCGTAATCCTGAATAGAGGTCAACTGGCGCCAGGTGTCCAGCTTCGTGCGTGCATTGTCTGAGACGGATGTGGGCTCAAAATGTTCACACAGAGCTCTTCCCCACGCTTTCCACGTGTGAATCGCGGTCGATCCAAAAATTGACGTTGCGTCACGGGCAGCAGATTCCGAACTCCTGAAAAACCCCCTGAGTGTTCCTTGCTGAAGTCCCCATCAATCGCCACCAATCCAGTGTAGGTCCCCTCAGTAGTGAAACAGCCAGTCTGGTTTTTAAATCATCTATAGAAATTCCGATAGCAGCAAAATAAAGCTCCATCGCAATAAGCCAGCCCGTTATGGTGGTGTGTTTGTCCATGGGGTTAAAAGGGGGCGGCAACGGTGGCTTTATCTTGGCCACTGTACTGTCGGCATGGCTGCAGCTGCTGCAGAAACTGTTGCTGCTGCTTCGGAACGGGCGGCGGCTGTTGTCGCAACTGTTGCGGCTGCCGTGGCACGTGCGGCAGCATTCGTTGCAGCTGCTGCTTCATCATCATGGAGCTCTTGCGACACTTCGCGTGCGATTTTGTCCAAGACCGTATCGACACGTCCAGTGCTGGCGGCGTCCTGGGGGGTGGGCGACTTCTGGCGCGTAGCCCCTTGCGCCTAGCGAAGTTCGTTAACTTTGGCGCGCATGTTCTCATTGTCGTCTAGCACAGCTGTCAGGCGAGCCTCCGTGGTAGAAAATTTTGCCACCAACTTGTCAAACTGTGCCTCGTCCATGTGGCGAACACTACGCCGCGTGGGCAGGGGAATATTCATGATTACCTGTGCTCAGGTAAGAGCGCAAACGCTATCGTAGTCGGGCGAATTAATTCGTCTAATTCGCGGCCGACCGCTTTGCAGCTTGGTGAGCGAATCACTTCCCCCCCCCCCCCCCCCTCCTCCACCCACACCCCCCCCCGCCCCCCCCCCCCCCCCCCCCGAAAAAAAAAAAAAGTTTTCCGCCTATGGAAGCAGGTAGGTCAGGAAAATAGCTCTGAATACCGGATGTGAACCTGAGTAGCGCGGTATTGAATGTCGAGATTCAGAATAACAGAATCTGGTACAATGGAATGATGAAGCAAGATTTAGGAACACCATAGCAATCCTAGCCGTGTGATCGAACAGGTTTGAGGAAGGCATCCGAGGACACGGGGCGCTTCGGAGTGATGCAGAAATGGTTCGGTGCTATGTTCGCGCTGAAGCTATGGAATACGTCGCTGCCGTGTGTGGTTGTTGTACGCGTTAGTGGTGTGGCACGCTAAGGAATGGAAAATTACTTACAATGATTGCCATCGAGTAAAACTTGCACATCTTGGTCTACTCAAAGCCCAATGGGCCATGTCCTAGGGAGAATAAGCTAGGCTATAATATACAAGATAGGTGCAACCTTAGTACCGTATCCACCTGGATAGGCGTCCCTAGGGGCATCAAGGGTGAACCTTTTTTTTTCTTTTCTTTTTTTTGTGTGCTAATGATCGATTCAAAACCAAAGTAAATAGAACATGTTACGAAGTATTTTTATGTACTTGGTTTCTCTGAAATCTGCAAGTGCTGTTCATAGTTTTCAGGCGAAGGTGCTGACAGGTTTACTGACTCAACGAGCCTTCGGCAAAACTCAGGCGGACCAACGATGGAGCCCAGCTTTGTTGGTCCCTAAGAATTTGTTTCGGCTTCAGCAGACTTCCGCTACAATCACGCTACCAATCGACAAGCTCGGTGGAATTGCTTCGGGCTCCCTTCACCCGTCGATGGGGCAGTTTCCGGTAAGACAACTTTAGGACGTGTAGGACGTCCGATCCATTCATCCGATCCGTTCGTCCGTTCGTTCTACCCGTCGTGAGATTTTGGGCTGATTAAAATTCAAGTACAGTCACGAGGTGATTCAAACGAGGGAAATCAACATCTTGACTTCAAATTTTTATATTGTTATAAAATCGTGTTGGGTTTGGCAATTCGTCAAAACAATTATTAAAAAAAAATGCTATGCAGGGTTTGCGAAAAAAAAATAGTTCGCCATTCTAGGATTTGGAGGTTTGGCAAGCTGCGCTTTGATGTTCGTGAGGTTTTGTGCTAGGGCACATGCGCAACTTTCAAGAAACTTTCGAGATGTGCCCCTCAATCAGTTGAAACTTTTCTCACAAAACATTTTGCACGCACACGATTTCTATGACCTTTTCGCTGCCCGTTTCTGCTCCCTGTTCAAGATTGCAGATCTGCCTTCCAAGATCAGCAAGTGTACTTCTGCAGCCGTGTTGCTTCCACCTCTCGATATCATAATTATCTTCATCCCTGCTGGCACTTCTCCTCGCCCCTACGATGCCCTGGTAAGTTCTTCATCCCTGCCTTGCTGCCTCACTACTCACCTGTTCCTTTGCCCAATCAAACAAGTTCACGAGAGAAAAGAGAGTTGACTAAACAAGAGAGAGATATACAAGAAGGGTATTGTACCCTCTACAGTAGGATCCACAATCTGTAGAACACCTACCAAGCCTACACAAATACATACACTGGCGGAAAGTATTGCCCGGATAAAATCCAATTTTAGGTTCAAATAATGATTTGGTTACATTTAAACGAGGTATCGCTAGATGTTCGAAGCTGTGTTGTATTATCCGACTACAAGTTGCATTGGGGTAACACCTTTGCGATTTGAAGGGGTCGGTCTAATAGCATGGACAAGATTTCAGTTGCGTGAGTGCATCCGGACAGTTTCGGCCAAGCAGCGGACTAGATCCGTATTCGAATACCGCATTCTCTCCATAGTTCCTACCGCGATTTCCGATTAGTCAGGATAGAGTTTATACCCGAGGCTACGACGAGGCCAAGATGAGACCGATAGAGGAGGCTCGTCGCGCCCGGATCATAACTCTGTTGCGTAGGGGGTACTGCACGCGGCGAATCGCGAAGGAGGTTGGCGTGGGGAAAAGCACAGTACATGATGTTGGACTTAAGGCGATTTCAGAGACTAGTATTGAGTATGTGCGTCCTTCAATGCCCAGTGCTGGTCGTCCACGCATAATCACGAATAGAATTTGTCGTGGGATCGTCAGGGCGATTACTAGCGGCAAGGCGAAAACCTCGAGGCATGCGGCCCAGATCGTCGAATCCTAGCACGACATTACGGTGCATCCTAGGACGGTGCGTAATGCGCTCAAATCCAGCGGCCTTGTCGCCGTCCAGCAGCCTAAGAAGCCGCGACTCTCCAAGAAAAATATCCGCGATAGGCTGGAGTTCGCACGGGCCCACGCTGATTGGACCAAAGATGATTGGAGACGGGTGAACTGGTCGGATGAGACGAGGATCAGTAGGTTCTGCTCTGACGGCCGCGCGTACGCCTGGGTTCGTGAAGGTACGACTCTCTAGCACCACCAGATAAGGCAAACCGTCAAACACGGGGGCGGCGGCTTGAAGATTTGGGGCTGTATGAGGTACGAGGGGGCGGGTTTGATGTGCAAAATCGATGGTAGAATGGACGGGCCGCTGTATCTGAGCATTTTGCAAGACGAGTTGAAGAATACCATCGACTTTTACACGCTAACCCCCTCGGATGTGATCTTTCAGCATGATAACGACCCCAAGCATAAGTCCCGTGTGGTGCAGCAGTGGCTTCAGGAGCAGGAGTTTGGGGTCCTGGAGTGGCCGGCAGGAAGTCCCGATTTGAACCCCATTGAGCATCTTTGGGCTCATCTTAAAAGGGAGCTAGCTAAGCATGAGACACCTCCCACTGGTATGGTGGACCTGTGGGAGCGTGTACAAGAGGAGTGGGAGAAGATCCCATCTGAGGTGTGCTCCAATCTGATCGACAGCATGCCCAGGAGGGTGAAAGCAGTGATTAAGGCCAAAGGGCGGTGGACCAGGTACTAGTTTAAGGGTTGTTCAAGTTGCTGCTTCCGCCTGGAACTAATTGTCCGGATGCACCGTAATTGGTTATGTCAGCTTTTTACTGTTAACGATAGTAGTTTCTTCAAATGTGAAGCATAGTTTTGTGTCCCTAGATTGCCCTGCATATAGTGAGTAAGGCCTCCAATTAAGGCTTAATGTACTCATGCCCTTTAACGGCCGAAATTCTCAAAATTGCAAAACGTGTTGACAATTCTTTCCGCTAGTGTATATATATATATATATAAAGTATATTATTTGGCAGTGTCTTATAATCAAATAATGCGCATAAGCCTCGTTAGCTGATTAGAGGACTTAGGGTCCTATCCCCCAAAGGGGGGGGGGGGGGCGTATCAGGGTGGATACAGTATCTTGTGAGTTGCATCACACATTTGATGTTGCGATCCTAAACATTTAAGAAGGTGTATCATAATACATTCGGGCTCCGGACAAGCTGCTTGGGGCAAGATTCGACAAGCTATATGCTTCAAATATCTAGATTCGAAGTTACCGCATCTGCTGCGGCTGCTGTTGGTGCTGCAGTGTCATAAGCGGTCACACTGTATGAAAGTTCGGTCCCGTCCTCATCATCATCATCATCATCATCATCATCATCATCATCATCATCATCATCATCATCATCATCATCATCATCATCATCATCATCATCATCATCATCATCATCATCATCATCATCATCATCATCATCATCATCATCATCATCATCATCATCATCATCATCGCCATCATAAGCAGCAGCCATAGCAACAATGGCAGCAATGATGGGGACAACCACTACTAACCTAAAAAAACCTTCTGACAATTATCATATATAGAACATCGGATCAACTAGCAGTGTCCCACGTGTGCTTTGTTGCCATAGCCCATGACACAACTCCATGCTGTCTTCCACTCCCCCTGGATGTCTCACTTGTCAACATATATCTGTATATGTTATAGGCTAGATAGATGCATGCTCATAGAAGGTACAACACCATGGCACAAAACCTCCTTGTATGGCACAATCTAGTTCATTGCGTGAATCTAACATGGTATCAGAGCTAGGCTAGGTCCCCCTCCCCGCCTACGCTTCTGCCCCTAGCCCTAGCCCTAGCCTTAGTCCGCGCCCTAGCCCTCGCCCCGTCATGCCGCGCTGGCCCCAAACTGCCGCGCTGGCCCCGTCTTGCCGCGTTGGCCCCCGTCACGCCGCGCCGGCCCCGCTAGAATGCGCCGGCCCTGTCACACCGTGCCGGCCCCGTCACGCCGTGCCGGCCCCGCTAGACCGCCAACCCCGTCATGCCGCGCCGGCCCCGTAACTCCGCGCCGACCCCGTCACGCCGCGCCGGCCCTGCCACACCGCGTCGCACTGCCGAGCCACCGCGTCGCACCGAGCTGCCGAGCCGCTGCGCCGCCGAACCGCTAAGCCGCGCCGCCGAGCCGTTGCGCCACCGGGCCGACGAGCCACCGAGTAGCCGAGCAGCCGTGCCGCCGAGCCACCGATTCGCCGAGTCGCCGCGTCGCCGAGTTGCCGAGTCGCCGAGCCGCTGTGCTGCTGTGTCGCCCCGAACTGCCAGCCCTGGTTCCCCCTGTGGGCCGGCGCTCCTGCCGGCCGTCTCCACCGCTGCTCTCCACCGCCCTCTCCTCCTCCTCCCCTAGCGGCGGTCAGCTGCTGCAGCCGTGGCGATGGCGGACGCTATGCTCCGCCTGGAGGATCGGGCGATCGACTTTGAGGCGTGGCTCGCCAACCTCCGCCGCTCGCTGAGGGGACAGCGCCAGCATGGCCAATCTCTGGCCGTTCACATCGACGGTAAGATCCCCTGCCCCGACCCACCTGCTGCCCTCTCTGACGCCCCCACGCACGCTGAGCGTAAGGCCTTTGCAGATGCTGAGCTCGCTCGCTTTGTCTGGGAGTCGCGTGATGCAGTTGCACAGCTTGCTATCAGTCTCGCCCTCCCCCTGTCTGGGGGCCCCCGCTACCAGGCTCTAGAGACTGCGCAGACGTACTTAGATGCTGTTCACTTCCTCCTTCGCCTTTGCCGATCGTCTCCTGCTCCCCCTGCTCTTCCCTGACCTTGCGTATTTTCCCACTGTCGCTGATCTTGCCACTCACCTGCGCGCACTAGAGGCTACCTACAGTGCTACTAGCACTGGGGCTCTACTCCTTGTACTGCCTCCACCCCTCGGCGCTGCCCTCTACTTCCTTGCTACGTGCCTTCTTGACCATCTAGCCACTGCCCGCGACCACTTCCTTGCCCTCCACCCTGCTGACCTCACCCTCACTGACTTTGTCACTACCCTGACGGCGATAGAGACCCGCTAGCGCACAATTGGTCAGTCGAGCGATACTCCGGCGGTCCCTAACTTCTAGGGCTGTGCTCCCTTCCAGTGCACTTACTCTGACGTCTTTGCCGCTGTTGCTGAGACGGCCCCTGCTGCTGAGACCGCTGCGGCGGCCTCAGCACAGTCTCGTCAGGGTAGGGGACGCTGGGCCTGGGGGGCGTGGCGGCGGGAGGGGTGGCGGGGGTGGCAGAGGTGGCGGAGGTGGTGGAGGGGATGGTGGTGCAGACGAGGGGACCGGGGCTGGTGCCCCGGAGCAGCAGCAGCCTCAGTAGCAGTATCAGCCTCAGCAGCAGCAGCAGCTGTCACAACAACAACAGCAGTCGCCGTGGGGACCCCCGGCCGCCATGGTGGACTGACGGAGCTGGTGGTGGTGGGGGGCACAGCTCCGTGTTGGGTGGCGGCTCCTGTGCGGTCACCTGCCAGTACTAGCATCAGTCCAGCCCCCACCGCGGCACCATCTGTGACCGCCCCGGTCACATCGCCGCGCGCTGCTACTTCTGCCTCGACAACCTCTTCCGTCTCCGCTTCGGCCCCACGACGGACCCCCCCGACTGGTACAGCTGGGTGCGTCCTCGTGTGCCTGTCTTTGAGATGGACATGGATCAGATTAGGTATGCTTTGTATGCCATGTATGCTGATGACTCTAGTGTGATTGGACCCTATCACCCGATGTTGCCTAGCGTAGGTGGGTCCCCTGTGTATAGTCTAGATTCCCCTGTTGCATCAGGCGTAGGACCCCCTACCTTGTTTAGCCTAGGCTCCATGCTAGCCCCTCCGCCGATGGACACTACTGCTTCGCTCTCCTTCACGCTCGACTCTGGAGGGTCTGCCTGCTTCTTCCGCGACCACACTACGCTCACGCCGCTTGCCGCCCCTACCGCTGCCGCGCTTGTTGACCCGTCCTCAGGTCTAGTTGTTGCTCGTAGCTCCACCATCCTTCCTTGTCCCGCGGTCCCCTCGGGTTCTCTTACAGACTTAGACATCCTCTCGTTCTCTAGGAACCTAGTTGGTGTCGGCTGTCTTCAGGACCTCGGCGTCACCACTACGTTCCCCGGATACAAGTGGTACACGGTCTGTATCGAGTCCGCTACTTGTGCCCCTCTGACCACGTTCCCCCGGGACCATGTGTCTGGCATGTTTACGCTAGGCACTGTGTCCCCCCCTGTGAGAGTACGACCCCGTTACACCACTTCGCCTTTCCTTCCTATTTCATTTCTCATTTTTATCCCATTTTATTTGGTTTCCTCTTCTCCATTTTTCCTTAACCTTTGGTTTATCCTGTTATTATCATTATATCACCGACCAGGCTCGAGATGTACTGGTGCGCTCTATCTAGCGTAATCCTGCCGTAATCCCTTAAAGCCAATAGCCTCGCGTGGCTATACGCAGGGTGATTCTATTTTCTCGAAGGGTCTATTCCCTTGGATAAGATAAACGTGGTTACCTGCTGTACTTTGGAAGTATAAAAGCGCCTTGTACTGATCGATAGTGCAACCTTTCCTCGACACATTCGATCATGTGACACTTGGTAATCAGAGCTTTTCTCACTCGGCCGCGCTCAACAAAGCAGCAGTAGCGGGAAAACCTGCCTCGAAAAACCGTCGGGGGCAACCAATTCGACGCCGATTCTGGTAAGCACCAGCTCCGCGTTTTTTCGAATCACCCCCCCCGCGCGTGTTTTGAATAGGATGGCAACCTTCGACAACGTCGAGGTTACCCAACAGCTCTTCGCGCGCATCGCAGCCCTTCAGGAGGAGATGCGAGCGGATCGCGAAGCGTGGCGAAACGAGTTTGAGCGAGTAACTCGACTCGCCGGAGCGCAACACGAAACGACAACGGCGACGACGCAGCAGACGCAGTAGTTTCTCGAGGCTCCGAAACCACGCCCACCTGAGCCGTTCGATCCGAGCGATCGAAACTCCGACGCCCGCAGATGGATCGCCGGGATGGAGATCTACTTCGCACCCGTCGGATGGAGCTTGCCAGTCTGGGACGGTCAACGTGTATGACTCGCGGCGACACTGATGCGAGGGCTGGCACTCGAGTGGATTGGCGGCAACAGCACCTTCATCCACGGTAAAGCCACGTGGCAGCAGTTCCGCACCGACCTGCTGAAACGATTCGAGCCGATAAATTCAGGTTTCCTTGCCCGGGAAAAAATTCATCACCATCGAATTCCCGACCTGACCGAAGGGGAAAAAGTACAGTCGTACCTCGCCGGGCTGAAGACCGAAGTCAAACGACAAGTGGCAGCGACAAACTACGCGAGCTACAGTGACGTCGTATCGGCCGCGGAACGCTTCGACATGGTCAACGCCGGGACACAACGGACGCACATCGGCAGTACGCGACAGGGCGACCGCTCGGCTCACCCCACGTTCGCCGACCCGATGGAAGTCGACAGATTCGGAGGGCGGCCACGTCCGAAAAACACCAACTATACGTGTGATTTTTGCGGGGTGCCGGGTCATCGAATCTTCGACTGCAACAAAATGAAGGCCGCACGCGCTGAGTATCAGGCACGCAACAGTCGCGGAATTCCTCCGGCCAATCAGAAGACAAAAAACGGGAGTCGCCAGTGATTGCGGATCTAGCTGGCGAAAATAAAAAGATCCGAAAGTGGCCCTGGGATGTCGGAAAAATCAACTTCGACGAAGCTGATTCGACGCGAGAAGGAGGAAATGATGGGGGAAAATCTCCACCCCACGACCAGTCTTCGCCAGAGAAAATCTCTGAGAAAAAATACGACTCCGCGAAAAAAGACTTTCCCGAGAGAGGGAAACTCCTTGAAGACCCAAGAAATTATAAGGATTCGTTAAAGCTATCCTATAAAAATGCTTGAATGAAAACTTATGATTCTCGAGGGGCTAGAGCCTTGGAGAAAATTCGGGAAGGACTCCAAAAGAAGCAGACAGATGTGGAGATCATACTGGTACCGGACAACTTGGGGAAAAAATTAAGGAGTGTGGAAAGAAGCCGACCTTTCCACGGAGTCAACGTCCTCTCTCGACACCAGCCCACAACAACTACCCGTTCCCAAGGGAAGACGTCAGTGGAGCTGAAGCAGCTCAAGAGGAACCTGGGGGTCTACAAGAAGCTGCAGAAACCCCAAACTCCTCCTTGGGATGCATCCAGTTCAGCAACTTCGGCATCAACGACGCGCACAGTCATCAAGGAAACTCCGAGCCCTGGAGAAGAGCCGTTCTCCAAGCAGCCTTGGCTAGCTGCCAGCCCAGGAGTAAATAGTAACGAAAAGGTGTGTACGGAATATTGGGATGTACCCTATGACCCAATCAATGAAACTATCTTTGGGTACTCCGAGCAATGCCTGCCCCTCGTGCTCGAGGTCATCTGCAAAGGACGACGCCTCCAAGCACTCGTGGACAGCGGAGCATCGCACACCGTCTGCGACAAGGCAGTAATCGACCGACTTTGGAAAGAGTACAAGCCTTCAGGGTTCTCTCCAACGATGGTGGACGGCAGCAAGTTACCAGTACA